CTACGACCTTCTTAGCAGTGAAAATAAGGTCTCCACCAAAAATGAGCCCAAACCGATGCAAAATGAAGATTCGGGGCCCGAAACGCGCAGCCCGAGGCCCCGAAAACTGACAGTTAGGCACCAGAAGTGGTGTTCAACCATGAAGTTGGTCTCTCGAGCCACAGTATCCCTCAAAAGGGAGCAAATAAGATGCATGCCAAAAACCGGAGCAAACGGAGGTGGTTAAGCGGTCCCGAACCGAGGCACACGGCCAACGGCTCTGAAAAATCGGAAACCGGACTCCAAACGGGCAAAATGGCCTACGACCACGAAATATAGCCTACGGCCACTGAGTGATGATCTACAAGACCTCTCCCTCCCTTCGAGAAGAGAAAACAGAGAAAATAGAGCCTGGTTCGCAAACCGAGGCAAGACACAAAAGAGCCCGGAAGTCCGGAGGCAAGGCTCGCAGCCGAAACTCTGAAACTTCTGAACGAGCACAATATGCACCATCACCGAGTGCTCAATCGGTGACGTCTGAGTCTTAAGGTCGGTCAAAAATGGGGTGTCTACAGCAGTACAGTTGATCATTCAGAAAGTATTCATGATTGAATATATCTTTACAACATTGTTACTCATAGAGCACTGGGCTATAAGTAGCTAGAGCATCTTCGGATGCCAACCCTACACAGTTACAGAACGAACACACACTATGCTACACAGTTGAGAAATAATAGCTTAATCTCTAATTTGCTTCGGTGTGGTTCTACATCAATATCCTCATTAAGATGCCTTAAACTAGGCCTAAGAATACCTAGGATGGAATGAGGATGCAAAGATGCACTTTAAAACACTTTTCAGAATTTTCAAAAAACAGGGGTCTCGCTCGAGCATGGCTTTCTACGCTCGAGTGGACATGCAGACAAAGCAGCTACGCTCGAGCGTGACTTTCCTCACTTGAGCGGACTGCAAAAGTACTGGATGCACGAAATTCACGCTCAACGGGCGCTCGACCCTCACTCGAGCGTGAGACACAAGTCCTCGCTCGAGCGTGCATTCCCTCGCTTGAGCGGACTGTAAACATATGCAAAGTACTGGACATACGCATTTCACGCTCAAGCGCGACTTTCCTCGCTCGAGCGGACTGCATGAACTCAAAGTGTATGCTTCCACGCTCGAGCGTAGAGTTCCTCGCTCGAGCATGGGTCCAAATTCTGGAATTTCCAGATTTGAACCTCAAGCTCAAACTCAACTTTAAAGTATCAAATTCGATCCTTTTGGGCTAATTTTCTGGAAAACACTTGTAAACTCATAATATGACATGTTTCAAAGATCAATTTGAGAAATCAAAGCCCAAAGGTAGTTCCATTTGAACACAATTTCAATAAACTCTAAGAACAAGACTCAAATGTAACATGCATGAGCTTGTATGAACTTAAAGCTTCAAACACAAGATCAAATGAGCCAATCCTTCCAAAAACATGGTGAATTCATGGATTATAACAATAATATGAACATGCATGCAATAATTTCCATGAAAACAACTCTAAACTTCAAGATATGCACATGCATGCATGATATAAGCTTCAATTCAACAATTTAAGCCATAACTTGGCTCTACTCACTAAACTTCCATGAATCATGCAAGATATAACTCAAATGCAAGCTCAAGAAGATGGTTCTCCTACCTTAGACCTTGAATTTCAAGTATAGAAGCTCAATTATGCAAGACTCCTTCAATTTCTCTTAAGTCTCCAAACAATTGATGAACTCAAGTTTTGTCCCTCTCACTCTCTCTTTAGTCGGTTATGAGTCTCAGGAAATGGAAGAGATGATGAAATGGTATGTCTAAGTGTATGAATTGAGCCTCTAGATGATAATAAAAGTGGCCCACTAGATGGCATTTTGGTAATAATGCAACTAATGTAATTCAACACTATTTAATCCAATTTAATCATTCCAAATCAAATTTCAATTAAACATGCCATAAAATCACATAAATTCTAATTAGCATAAAACACTAATCAGTTTCGGATTCGGCCACCGATAAGACTTTCAATTTGCAGTTTAAAACATGAAACATGAATAGGTCACTCAACAGTCAACAGATAGAAATGCACTTAAGCTATACACTCAATCAATCAGTTCAGGATTTCAGTCAATCAGTCATTTAACATGCTTAATCATAGATTAGCACTAATCAGTGGTGAGGGTTGTCACAGTGGCCGTAGTCAAGGCATTGGTATTATTGTCTATGGTGGGTGTTGTAGTAGCGAGAAGAGAGTTAGGGTTTCCTTGAGCATTGTCTATGTGTTACTTGGTTGAATGTCTCTTTTTTCCTTGAAGTTTCCCTCTTTTATACTTGCTTGGCAACTTCTTATTATAGCTATCAATCCATAATCTTTCTTGATCTTTCCTCCACCCAATCATATCTCACCTTCGTAGGAGCTATTTACAAATTTTGTACTTGATTTAAGCATATTGCAACGGTTAATCTTCTTTGACTTTTATTAATAATTTTTTCCTTTTTAAGCCACGTTATTATTCTTATCACGCTATCTCGCCAATACACTTATCATATCATATTAGCATGTTTGTCGATAGGTAATATTATAAAATTTAGAACCAACAGTTTGAATTGACAAACCATAATTGAGAGGCCACAATCAACTAAAATAGATTTGATTATAATCGGAAAAAAATGAATTATGGTGTTAACAGAACCATTTATTTTGTAAGGCACCTTTGCGTGTATTATCCACACACAATTTTTTTTTTAAAAATTAGGTCAATCTAATAATCATAAGGGTAAATTACAAATACACCCTCCGAGATTTGATTAAAATACAAATCGCCCCTGTGATTTTGAAAATTATATTCCACTCCATGAGGTTTCTAATTTCATAACAAATCGCTCATTTTATTAATAAATTATGAAATCAATTAACAGTTTTTAATGATGTTAAAAATATGTTTCAATTAATAATTTAGGTAATTTATTATTGTATATGAGAACAATTATGAATTTTATTTTTTAGTTAATTATGATAAATAAAAAATTCTAATAAGGGAGTATTTGTAATTTTTTAAACTAAATGAGCCATCTGTATTTTAAACAAACCTCAGGAGGTGTATTTGTAATTTATCCTAATCATTAAACTATTTAATTTATGGTATTTATCGCCAAAGAAATAGATAGTTTATTTTTAAAAATAAACTTGTCATCTATTTTTTTTATAAACAAATACAATAAATTAAATATGTTATAATTATTAAATTGACCTAAGTTTTTTTTTGTATGAATACACAAAAACTCTACAAAATAAATAATTTAAATTATTAAATCAAAACCCATTATAAACGCCATAAATTTCAACATCACCCTCCAATCCAAAATGGAAGCTTCCATTTTATCACGTAGGCTTATTTTGAAAATTAGAAAAGAAAAAGAAAAGAAAAGAAAAACAAACAAAAACAAGCTTGTAGATTTATTTAAATTACATCACTTATCTATTTTTTTACATATTATTTTTAACAACAATGATTCATCCCACTAAAAACATCACCACTAATAGCACTAATGCATTAAAAAAGTAAAAAAAAAAAAAAATACAACTCCAAGACCAAAACATCACATCATTAATGGCGGGACCCACTGCCACCTAATTAGTGGGAGCATTAATTAGTGCTCCCAAGCATTTTTCTATTTTTAAAATAAAAAAAACTAAACAATTAACTTTTTTTCTTCTTTCCAAAATAAGCTTGAATCTCATAAAATCCCACTCAACAAACAAATATTAATCTAAAAACAAAAATTTTAGAGATCTCAAAAATTTTACCAAATGTGAATGTGAGATTCACATGGGACCCACATAGGTGGATTCCACATCCATGTAAGACATTTGATAAAAATTTTACTAGAATTTTTGGAGTTTCTAGTAGAGGTGAGCGGTGGATATTCTAATCCTCCCAAACTGATCGAATCGAACAAATCCGCCGCATTTTAGACGAATGCGTAATGATGAATGGACTATTGTGAATTATTTTTTCCAATCCGCCTAGTTTTGAACGGATAACAGATTTGAGGTTCCTTTAACCGCAACCAAACCGTCAAATCACGAGCATCTCTAGTAATTTGTAAGATTTTGTATTTTCAATTTGTTTAGATATTCTATTTGTATTTTCAATTAAAAAGAATTTAGATATTCTGTTGTATTTTTAATTTGTTTTCAATTTAGAAATTCTTTTATCAAATGACAAATGTTGATATTTAGTATTTTTGTATGGAAAATATGAGACTTAATTTTGTAATTTTTTTTAAAATTAAATTAAATAATTTTTGAATAAAAAAAAGTAATGAAATGGTTTTGACAATATATGGTTTTCTTATATGTATTATCATTGGTATTTGACAATTGACTTGATAATCTTTTAGTTATGTTGAGTGGAATTATTATTAAAAAAAATATTGAAAGTTGTTATATTATGTTCAAAATTTATGAAATTTAAACTGTTAAACTGGTTCGTATCCATCCGTCAATTCAACGAATAGATGTAAATTAATTTTTTCCAACCCGTCTCCAATCCAATATAAGAATGACAAATTAAAAATTTCTCGACCACAATCAAACCACAATCAAACCGTAAACACTCTTAATTTTTAGCATTACTCGTCTAAAAATGAAGCGATTTGAATTAGTGATGGATCGAGGTACTCCAACTCTTTGGCCCTGTTTGGTAGAGCTGTAGAAAAGTGATTATAACTTATAACCTAACAACTTATAACTTATACTTATGAACATAAGTTGATTTTTGATTTATAAATTAAGCTTCTCCTCTCTCACTCAAAGAATAAGTTAATTTTTAACTTACAAAAAATTATAAATTGTATTATTAAACTGAACTAAACACATCAAAAAAAACTTAAATTAAAATAAAAATTAAAATAAACTGAAAATAAACCTAACAAACAGCTGCTGCCCGAGGTTTACTAACAAAAATAAGCCCTATCCTTATCCGAGAGTGAACTTGAGGTTTACTTCTGCTGCCTGCTTCTCTCCCCCCAGAAAAAGAAAGAAGAAACCAACGACGGCCCATTTCTCATTTTATTACTCTCTCTCTCTCTCTCTCTCTCTCTCTATATATATATATATATATACATGAATCTAGCAAAGCCGGCCGTTTCTTCAGCCATTAAATCAACTTTTACTCATAAACCCACCTTGAAGACAACCATAACCTTGTCAATCTTGGAGACCCACTTGCAACATTCCCTAAATCTCAAGCAATTTACCCAAATTCTCTCTCAGATGATCCTGACTGGATTCATCAGAGACACTCATGCTGCAAGCAAGCTCCTCAAGTTCTCCACTGATTCACCCCTCATTCACGTCGACTACTCTCGTAAAGTTTTCGATCATATCGAAAGCACTAATGCATTCATTTGGAACACCATGATGAAAGCTTATTTACAGAGAAATTATCCTCAAAAGGCAATCTTTCTTTATCAACTGATGTTGGTAAACAATGTGTGTCCTGATAACTACACATACCCAATTCTTGTTCAGGCCAGCGCTGTCCGATACTCGGAATTGGAGGGTAAAGAGTTGCATGATCATGTACTCCAGATGGGTTTTCATTCAGATGTTTATGTCCTGAACACTTTGATTAATATGTATGCGGTTTGCCAAAATATAAGGGATGCAAGGAAGTTGTTTGATGAAAGTCCTGTGTTGGATTCGGTTTCGTGGAATTCGATTCTGGCAGGGTATGTACAGATGGGAAATGTAGAAGAAGCAAAATTGATATATGATCGGATGCCCGTGAGGAACATAATTGCGTCAAATTCTATGATTGTGTTGCTTGGTCGGTTAGGTTGTGTGAGTGAGGCTTCTCAGTTGTTTAATGCCATGGACGAAAAGGATATGGTTTCTTGGACTGCATTGATTTCTTGTTATGAGCAAAATGAGATGTATGAAGAGGCTCTGCTTGTGTTTATGCAAATGAATTCTAATAGAATAATGGTGGATGAGGTTGTGGTGATTAGTGTTCTCTCTGCATGTACACACTTGTCTATTGTCAAGACTGGGAAATTGATCCATGGCTTAGCTTTAAGAATTGGAATTGAGTCTTACGTTAACCTTCAAAATGCATTGATTCACATGTACTCAACTTGTGGTGATATTATGGCTGCGCAACAATTGTTTAATGTGAGCTACCACTTGGACCAGATATCCTGGAATTCCATGATATCTGGATATTTGAAATGTCAGTCCGTAGAAAATGCTAGGGCATTGTTTGATTCCATGCCCAACAGGGATATTGTGTCCTGGAGTGCAATGATATCAGGTTACGCACAAGTTGACCGGTTCTCAGATACTATAGCATTGTTCCAACAGATGCAGCTTGAAGAAGTTAGGCCTGATGAGACCACTTTGGTGAGTGTACTTTCAGTCGACAAGGGCCGTCATCACTTTGATAGCATGATTCAAGTGCACAATATAGAACCGAATGTCAAACATTATGGATGCATGGTTGATCTGCTTGGACGAGCAGGTATGCTCAAGGAAGCAGAAAAACTTATTGTAAGTATGCCTATGCAACCAGATGTTGCTACTTGGGGGGCCTTGCTTGGGGCTTGCAAGAAGCATGGTGATAATGAAATGGGAGAAAGGGTAGGAAGGAAGCTTATTGAGCTCCAACCCGATCATGATGGGTTCCATGTATTACTGTCCAATATATATGCTTCAAAAGGCAATTGGAATGATGTTATGGAAATAAGAGGGATGATGATGAAACAAAGTGTGGTTAAAACCCCTGGTTGCAGCATGATTGAAGCCAATGGTGTTGTTTATGAATTTCTTGCCGGGGATAAGACACACCCTTACATGAATCAGATTGAGAAGATGTTGGATGAAGTAGCCAAGAGACTTAAGACATTGGGTTATGCCCCAGACACAAACGTTGTTTCCCTTGACATCGATGAAGAGGAGAAGGAAACCACTCTCTTTAGACATAGTGAGAAGCTTGCAATTGCCTTTGGACTTGTAGCAATCAGTCCACCAACACCAATAAGGATTATTAAGAACTTGCGAATATGTAATGATTGTCATGCAGTGGTAAAGCTCATTTCTAGATCTTTTAACCGTGAGATTGTGGTTAGAGATCGACATCGCTTTCACCACTTCAAGCAGGGCTCATGTTCCTGCAAGGAGTACTGGTAGCATTTTATGATACTAAAGCAACTTGGTATTGACAATACACCTCCTGTGGGCATGTATTTGGTGAATTTGGTTTGAGACATCACGAAGAGGCAACTTGGTGTATGTGGTGCAAACATACAGGTTGAAGACGTCACAAAGACGCATTTCCAGTGGTCAGATGGAAAAACTGGATACAGGTAGTTTGAGTGAAAAGGTTTATACAAGAGCAGATAATACAACTTTCTCACTTTATTACATTCTCTCCTGATGTAACTGAAAATATGACAATGTTTCAAGCTTTCAACTTCAAGCGCCTGAACTGAATATTCCTTTTCCCTTTTCTTTTGTTGTTGTTGTTGGTAATCAGCTTTATTTGTATCATGCAGTGAAACTGATTATTGATCCCACCTAAGCTCTGTTTGATCAAATATCAAATGGCTTAGACAGTTCCAGCACTTCCTCGGCTCCAATAGCTATCATATGTCATGGATGCTACTTTACTTCCCTCAGTTTCTTCCTCTTCCTCAGCCAATTCCCGATCGCATTGACACCTTAATCTCAATTTGATGACATTATCTTAGTGGAAGAGGAGAACATTGTGTAACACCGTTCCTATGTTATGTTTAGAATTTTTTAGGATTGCAGGTTTGAGCTGAAGGATAGGGGTAGCTGACTTTCTTCAAGGGGTAAAGTTCAAAGTGGCTCATATCTATTTCCTTCTTTTTTGTTAAAAAAAAAAAAAAAAACATCAAGGTGTATTACTTATAATGTTAGCTATTTTTCAGGTCATATCTTAAAAGGTTGGAGTACAGTCAGTGCTAAATTAAACAACTAACGGTTATGTTCCAGTCATTACTTTCCCCAGAAAGTTAAAAAATCTCCTCCATGGAAGAAGCTGGATCAGGAGCTCTCAAAGCCCTCTATAAAGTCCTGAGAACCAAAAGTGTGGCACTTCTTTCACCATGCATTTCCTTTCCCAATGTGCACTCTGATATGTCAAGACTTCAAATGTCAAGAAAATTCTCGTCGAGGAGAACCTATTTTGTTTATGTTTCAGAATCAGTTAAGCCTGTTAAGGTTATTGAAATCCTCCGTCATTGTTTATCATGACGACTGTATTTTTGCAAACGTGGATGGATATTTTGATGTTGTTGATGCACACTTTCAGACAGATGGCCTGAACTACACTTTCGTATTTTTTTTTAACTAGTAAATGGATTTCCATGGTTGTTCATGACTCTTGTAAAGCTTGCAGTTTTGTACATTCAAAGTTAGTTGTACTCTTACCCAGCTCAGCCTGCTCAGGCATACATATGCCATCCCTGCCACAACTCTCAAGATTCCTTGTGTTAATCGTGCTGTTTCATCATTGCTGCATAACCACTCTGTTCCTAGTGTTATAGGGCCAATGTTCATCATGTAGGTTAGCAAACACATTGTCCAACATAAAGAAGATTGTTGATGATCTTTTCTGGTATTATGTTCTCTTGGGAAATCATCCTTCCTATTATATATTTTGGTGTTTTCCTCATGTTAACCAGATTAAAATCTAATCATTGCAGAGATTTGATAGAAAAAATTCTCAAAATAAAAAAAAAAGCTGGTTCAATAGTTTACTATATGGAGGGAGATTGCAACTTATCCAAGTCAATGTTGTTTAGCACTCAAACTTACTGGAGCTCCTTCTTGATTTTATCTGCAGAGGTACATAAAACATTCAAACTGTGGTTAGAGCTTTTCTCTGGTCTGAACATATTTGACGCAAAGTAGGGCCAAAGGTACTTGGGATTCAATTTGCACCCCTAAAAATAAATAAATTAAAGCTTTGGAATAAAGCCATTATGCTGAAGAATCTTCCTCTCTTTACTAATGAAGCATTTTGTCATTACTCAAAAAAGAAAAGGAAAAAAAATGGTGAAGAATAAGAAGATGATAAATCTATAACCATAAGAGAAAAGGGGGGGGAAAATGAATATGTTAAAATCTATAACAGACATCTTTGCCGTCCTGGTTGATCTTTGAGCATCCCCTTTTCTTTCCTTTCGTTTACTATGTTTCTGGGCCTCTTTACAGCTCCCAGCTAGTTACCGGGCACGTCAGACCCCTCGTCCCATATCTATTGGACAACTTGAACTGGGGACCTTGGCTTCTTGAAGCAGTTCCTGGCCATGTGATCCGTTCTTTGCCCATGCTTCCTGATCTTTGAGCATTTTCTTTCATCAAAACCCATGTTTGAATTTTTATAATTCTCCCTTTTCTTACCTGCAATTTCTCATCTTCAAGTCCTTTCTGCTACATCATATGTCGAGCAATGTAAGTCAGGAGGAACATATTCTGCTTCTTCTTTCATATGCAGAATCAGCATATCCAGAACCCCATAGACCCACTCTATATGCGCACCCATCTTATCTCCAACCACAAAACTACAAACCTGATTTCTCACCTCAACCCAACTCCTCCCAGCCTCTTTCTTACTCCCCATTCCTCTCATCAACTTCCTCATTTTCGCAAACTCTCCCCACTTACCGTCTGCTGCATAAAGATTCGACAGCATCACATAAGTGCCTGTCACATTTGGCCCCAAATCCAATACCCTTTTCGTTGCCAATTTGCCCAAATTAGGAAGCCTGTGTGCTTTGCAAGCTCCAAGAAACGCGCCCCAAACAGATTCATCGGGCTTAAAGGGCATGCCTTCTATTAGTTCATAAGCCTCCTTAACTCTCCCCGCACGTCCTAGCAAATCCACAACACATCCATAAATCTCCTGATTTGGAGTGATGTTATAATCACCAATCATTGACTTGAAATAACTCAAGCCTTCGTTTACAAGTCCAGCATGGCTACAAGCACTCAGCACTGCCATAAACACAATTCGGTCAGGCCTAATACCTGACATGACCATTTCATCGAACAATTCAACAGCCTCTTTTCCATATCCATGGCTACCATATCCTAGCATCATAGAAGTCCAAGAAACCAAGTCTCTAAGCGACATTTCAGTAAAAATTTGATGCGAGTCTACAATGTTTCCGCACTTTGCATACATGTCTAGAAGGGCATTAGCCAAAGCCAAGTTCCCATCAAGACCTCTTTGAACAATCGATCCATGAACCTGCTGTCCACAGCTCAAAACCGCTAAATTAGCACACGCTGCCATAACGCTGGAAAGCGTGAAGCAATTTGGACTAAAACCTTCGCACTCCATCCGCGAGAATATGTAGAGGGATTCGTGGGAATTGGATTTCTCATATCCGGCAATCAGCGTGTTCCAAGTAATCAAATTTCTTTCAGTCATCCCATGAAAACACTGATTCGCTTCGCATAAACAACTACACCTACAATACATGTCTAAAATAGAATTCATAACGGGTATGTTTGATTCAAACCCATGCTTAACAACTGAAGCATGAATTTGCCTTCCACAAGTATGAGAGCCAATGGATGCGCAAGCTCTAACTGCAATTGAAATGCTAAATGCATTTGCTTCAGATTCCTCCTGTTAACAACAAATAAAAAAAAAAAAAAAGGTCAAAAAAAATGTAAAAACAATCTGCATATTTAGCCCCACTAACAAAATTTACATTGAGATTGAAACGCTCTTCATTGAAACAACATTAATGAAACTACATCTTAATTCTTATACATACCGATAACATTTTCTTAAAAGCTTGAAGTCCGGTATAGCCATCACCACGATGAGTATAACCCGCAATCAAGGTAGTCCAAGACACGTCATTTTTTTCATGAATTTCTTGAAAAACCAAGTATGCATCATCCATAGTAACACAACACGCTGCGTACATGTCCAAAAGCACATTATCGACGTAAATACAACCAACTATGCCAAGCTTAATAGCCAACCCATGAACCAAACCACCACAAGAGAGTGAATTCGTGCCTTTACAAGCTTTCAAAGCACTTGACATGGTAAAAGCATTTGGATTCTCTTTACTTTTCCTCATCATCTCACAGAACACAACCCATGAACGGGCGTGATGATTGCAAGAGGCGTAGCCAGCAATCATGGCAGTCCAAGCAACCACGTCTCTCTCAGGCATTTCGTCGAACAGCATGCGTGCTTCTTTGATTAGACCCTTGTCAAAGTATGATTTGATGAGATTGGTGGCTAAAATGGAGGGTCCTTTGGGTTGAAAAGGTGGTGGGTTGTGTTGGGTGGTGCAGTTGTGGGCCCAATGGAGAGAGTTTTTGACCATTGGGGGGATCTGATGATGAGGAATGGTGGAGAGTAGTTTTTTGAAACCCATTTCGGTTGTACATGATCACAGCCTCATAGAAGTAAATAGTATCCAACATCTACATGTCTTTAGTGTGTAGTAGAGTGACAATCTTTAATAATCAAATTTAATCATTGGAACATTTTTTGATTAATATATATCTTATCATTGATTCTATTTTCCACTTGCTTATGACTAGTTCTTCACATTAACATTGTTGCGGGCTTTGAAACAATAATATTAGGTAGTCATAATTTTTAGGAAAATGTCTCGTAACTCAAATTTTATGGTTTAAAAGTGGCTCAAATGGTCAAGACCACGTCGTTTTGACCATTTTTATGTTGTTCTGTACTCAAAACGACGTCGTTTTGACCATTTAAGCCACTTTCCATTTAAGCCACTTTTGAACCACAAAATTTGAGTTACGTAGCATTGTCGTAATTTTTATTCACAATTAATAGCAAGGAGATTGACCAATAAATTTTATATTTTTTATTGTAATTTATATAGTTTCATATTTTTTCTTGTAATTCATTTAGTCTTTTTGGATATGTAATAACTCATTTGTCCGTCACATTGAAATGTCACATTTAAAAAAATTACACTAAGAAATTTTTTAGTGTCACATCATACACACCACGTTGGAGTGTCACAATTAGAAAAAGTACACTAAAAGTTTTTAGTACCGCCACGTTGTCACATTTGAAAAAAGTATACTAAGGAGTTTTTGGTTTTTTTTTTTTTTAGTCCCCTCATACATACTTGTCACATTGTCACATTTGAAAAAAAAAAAAAAACAATAAGGAGTTTTTAGTTTTTTTGGAGTAGAAGTCTTAGAATGTCACATCATATTCGTCACGTTGTTATATTTAATAAAGTACACTGAATTTTTTTTAATTTTTTTGAAGTCTCACATCGTTGGAGTGTCACATTAATACCTGTCACATTAAAGTATCACATCATACCTGTCATATTAATAAAAGAGTATAGTTATCCACCAAAACATTATTAAAATAAAAAATAGGACTATACGAAAAAAAACTCTCCACTAATAAGACTCAATAGATCAATAAAAAAAAACTTAGGACTAATTGAAGTATTTGTTTGTGAGATATGATTTATTGGTAAATATCCCTTAATAGTATATAGTCCAAATTCATTTTATACATAAATCTCAAAATATAATATAGGAGAAATTACTCTTCAATACAATTTTTGAAAAAATATTAATGAAAAAATTTATAATTTTATTTATTAATATTTATTGTCATTTCAATTTTTTTTTCCTTCCCTAACACTGAAGTATAATTTCTCCTATAATATATTACTTAAGTTTGCAATGCAGATAAAATTATAAATGTACTAAATTGTGTAAGTTTATTTAAAGCTTAGAAAGGGCCATGGATATCTCAATCACCAACAGATAAACCTCTCATGTTATTTTAATCATTATAATTTTAATTGATTCAATTTTAATTCTAAATTTTTGATTTTGTATTAATTTAGACCAATTGATTGCTCCCGCTAGAGCTTGGGAAAATTAATTTAAGATCTCTCTCTCATTTTTAATAATGTAAGAAATCCACAATATTATTTTATAATGTCTAAAGTCCCTCAATCCCATATCCATATATCACAGAAAAATTTGACTCTCTACACTCAATCTTCGACAAATAGAGAGAGAGAGAGAGAAAACGTGCAAGAGAGAGAAAGAGAAACCCTAGATCGCTCAAAAAACATGCGAGAGAGAGAGAGAAACCCTAGATTGCTCAGTCGCTCTCCACTGCTCCTCACTTCACTGCCGCTCGCCGCTGTCACAGAGTTTTCCGATCTGTTCTCTCTTCTCTTTTCTCTCCCATATTCATCTTCTCCGATCTAAACCGCTACCAACTTTTTTGAATCTTCTCAAGACAAATGTAAGGCGTGTTTATGGCACAAGGTGGAGAGTTCCCTGTGCAATCAAAGCGAACCAGAGTGTTTGGTGGTCTTGCCTTCTACTTGTTCAACAAAATGCCTCAGTGAACTCTGTTACTGAGAAGTCATAAGATGATTAAGGAGAACTCTGCTACTGAGAAGTCATAATAGACCTCGGATACTGAATGCTCTGTAATGGAGAATGCGATCCTTGAATACGATATGCTTCATCGATTACTTCTACCATTTCTTTAAACTTGGACATCCACAACCAATTCAGGGCTTTACTCGTCCACACATTGCACAAGCCGTTATCACAGTTGAAGGGGGTAAATTTACTATCATTACTATTTTATTCAAGGTAGTTGATAATTTGTTTGGTTTCGGAACCAAACAAAAGCAAAGACTGAAAATCATGATAGATATATATTTGGGTTCAACTAAATAAGAATTGTGAAACAAAAATTTAAAAATTTTCCTTTTCATTTTCTTGCCAACTAATCAATGATTTGTTCTCTGTAATTTGATTACAGGTATCAAATTCACATGGTTCAAGTCGTCAATAATTGTGCCATCGATAATTACGTGCAGAGAATTTCTCTGAGTTCAAATCAGAGAAAATTGAAATTTCTTTAACTTTGTTCACAGAGAATTGAAGGTAGTGTTTGGTAGAGTTTTGTAAATGTGATTTGAGAGTATGAGTTGTATTTTGAGTTTGTGTGTTGTGGAATTATGATTTGAGTGTAGAAAATTTGTTTGGTAAAGAATTTTGAAAATAGTTTTGGAAAAGAGGTTTGATTTGAGTGGGAAATTATTGATGTGACATTTGATATGTGATACAAAAATTTACAACTCATAACTAAACATACAATTCAAAATTATTTTAAAGCACATAAAAAATTTAAAAATTTTCAGAAAATATTTGTCCCGATTATGTAAATCAATTGCAAAAAAAAAAATAATAATAATAATCTAGAAATTAACCGGACATCCGGGTGGACATCCGGGTGGTCTACCAGGTGGTCTTCTTTTGGACAGAAAACACGCCTGTGTGCACAGAGTTCTCTGCAGAGAGTGTAGAAAATTGATTTGAAAACGAAACCAAACATCATGCTCCAACACATGGGTAGAAAATTGATTACAGAGCACAACCAAACAGAGCCGAAATATCTCTGTAAATCTCTCTCTCTCTTTCTCTACTACTGTAATTTGATTGCTGAGAAACCGAAGGAAAATTAAATTTATAAATCATGAGTTCTTAAGAGAATTATAATGATACCAATTAAATCTCTCTCTCTTTCTCTACTATTGTAATTTGACTGCTGAGAAATCAAAGGAAAATTAAATTTATAAATCATGAGTTCTTAAGAGAATTTTGTATTTGTTAAATTAATTGGTATACATTATAACAAAATTCACAGTTTTTTTTTTTTTTTTCTTTCTTTCTTTCGCATCAGCCAAACAAGTGGCAAGTGATAGAATTTATGTTGCTGATTACTCTATTACCTTATCAATGTAGTGGCAGCGGAAGACTGCCTTTGTTTGTTGAAGGAATTGCGTGGGAAAAGCCTGTAATGAAGCACTTAGAATTACCAGAGAAATTTGTGAACAAAGTAAGAGAAATTTCAATGTTCTCTGGTTTGAACCCAAATAAATTCTTTTTTCTTTTTCTTTTTTTGTTGAGAAATTAGGTTTTGAATTCACGAATTTTAGTACCAGTTTGGTTAAGAAATGGGTTAAAGTTCCAATTTTATATTACAGTTTTGCTGTGTAATTTTGCTAAGTTGGTGAATTGGGGATTTGGGTTTAGATTTTGAAGGTTGATCAAAAATGAAAACTTTGTTAGGAAGTTAGGCTGTAAATTTACAAAAATTAGTATTTTGGTGAGAAAATTGCAAGAACTTGTTAGTATTTTGTTCCGATCAATTTTCTCTGGAAAATTTTCTCTACCCTGTTTAATTTTCTCTGTGTTGTTCAATTTTCTTTAGTTTGAACCCAGAGAAATTCTTTAGGAAGTCCAAAATTTCTCTAGAGAGAATTTCTCTGGATTGAAATTTCTCTGGATCAATGTTGAGAGATCTTAGACATTATGAAGATATTGGATGTCCTTTATGCTATAAAATCTTAATATCAAGGACCCTAAAAAAAAAACCCCCATTTGATAAAATTGTGCACGTAAACAAGTATTTGTTATATTTTTACCAGAAAAATTATAAATTTACTCAACTCAATAAGTTAACATTTAAAAAAAAAAAACACACTCAATGACTATTTTTCATCAAAAAGCCTAACGAGTGATATCAATTACACCAAATTGATACAAAATTCAAAATTAAAGGTCAAAATGAGCAAAATTGAAAATGTAGAAATAAAAATGATACAAGGAATAAAATGCAAGAATTATTGATGTAATTTGTCCTATATAGAATAACAATGACAGTCAATCACCAATGAAATTATTAAAGAGAACAAATATAAAGAACACATTTATACATTCTTTCATTTATCCAGAAGAGTTATAATCTATAAATATAGAAGAGTTGAGTGCAGAAGCAATAACTTAGGCCACTTCTTTGCAGTAAACATGTAACTGTTATATGGTATTATTATGATCATACATAAAGATAATCAAGGAGCCACCTCAACAGTACAAACTTTAGGGGTCTCCGGACAAGGGAAAAACAAAAAAACATTTAATTTAAATCAAACAAATATAGATAGGAGAAAAAATCAATTAATATTATACAGCAACATGTATATAAAAATAATAATAAAAAAAAAAAAGAAAATTTATACTTCCCTATGCTTCAATAGTGGCTATAAATGTACAAAAGGGTTTTTAAATGAGAATTTGAGACTTCGCGGCACCACGAGAGCATTTTTTACGGCTGGAGTTGCGAAGAGCACAAACGCAAATCTCTAGAAGTTCATAGTCTTCATCCCAGAATAACAAAGAAGCCTTTTCTGGATTTTCCACGAAGATTTTAGATGTCAAGAAGCCAGCAATCGACCACGTTTGGTAAAGTCGGGCTTGCTTGCCTATGAACCTTCCGTTCCTTGTGTCATAATATTCAGGCCAACGCTCCGCCACAAGCCTCTTTTCAGCCAAATCAACTGCCTTCTTAGCAAGTTCTGGTTTGCCCATCTTCATGCATGCCAATGTGAACTGAAAAATATATACATATATATTTTAGAAAAGAATTCCGAGCTAAAAATGGGCTGAAGAACTTGGCAAACCAAGACAGACCCACAGAAAAACAAGCATGTAAACATCCATCCCAAATAATAAGATTTAACTAATCAA